CCTACTGTCTCCACCAAAAGCAGAGCATGTGCAGAAGGTAACATCTTGTGTGCACACTGCAGGACTCGTGTCTATACTGGGCGTGTGTTCAGTCATGTACAAAAACACACAGAGGAGCCGACAAACACTTTGGAAAAGAGAAGAGTACTGTGCAAAACTCTGACAAATAATAGACAGTGACTACTGTGGCTACACTTGTATGTATATGTACAGTAGCCTGTGTCCAACTCATGGTAAATCACAGCAAATAAAAATGCCACACTTTAAAAAAGAGCTGCCATGTTCAATAGGACTGAACTGTGTGTTTACTTGATGCAGTTCTCTGTTTTGGTGGAGTTCTCTGTGCACAATGGGTGTCTCTCACCGACAGGACAGTAGTTCTGCATATGGAATTGGATTGGGTTTATTCTGGCTGATACTGATACTTGGTATCGGATCAGGACATCTCTAAAATGATCACATTTGTACAGGCACTCTTCCAGTTGTTTGTTTTAAATAAAATGGTATTTGGTCAAAAGTGAGCTAACACCTGTAATGTTTTGCACATCTGTTTTACAGTATGAGATTACTATGCCATACAAATGTGTCACTTCTTTGAAAGCCAAAATGTAGTTGTATACCCAAACTGCAGTAATTGCACTCTGGCCTAGTAATCCATGAGATTTAGAAGAGGGCAAATTATACTATCTGCATTTTTCTAAATTTCTGTAGTTGCTATTATAAAAAAGAATGAATTAATCTTGATCTATGTTATCCAGTTTGCCTGTGATTGTATAAACTTTTTTACTTCACTGTTTCTGTAGTTCAGACTGACTAAGTCAAAATAGTGAGTGACCCAAAAATGCTGTAAAATTTCCTGCTCTCCATCATCTCGTGCTCTTCCTCTTGTTTCTGTAGGTGGAACACAACTTCCTGTCACCCTACGTCTCTCCCAAAGACAGTCCTTTCCGCCACATCCTGCTGGGCTCCGGCCCCCACACGCTGAAGGCTCTGTCCAACCACCTCGATGCCCTCAGGAGCAGCAGCCCTGATGCTGATGCCGATGCCGACCTGTTCAGAAACCAGTTTGCACTGGCGACCTGGACCATTCAGGGTTGTGCCAACTCCCTAGCAGGGGACATCTGGTCTCTGGATAATGAAATTTAAAAAGCTATTTTCCCCTCGTCCTTCCCTTGTTCATGGTTTGACCCTCTTCTCACAGTTGGCAGTGTGAAAACATTAGGCTGTTTAATTCACAATTCAACAGGAACACAGCTCTGCTGATTAAACATACTTGGAAAGTGATAAAAGCGGAGCAGGCTGATGGATCCTAACACATCACCTGTTCATAAATCTGAGCATTTAAGCTGCCTTGTCTCCCTTCTTTCTGAAATTCTGTGTAAAGTTAAACATTTTGTTTTTGATGTACCTGAGCCTTCCGTGTTTAACAAAAAGAAAAAAACCATAAGTCACAAGTCCGCCCCAAACACACACAAATTGAAAGGAATAATTCTATAATAATTTTTCTATGAGGTTCTTAATACTGTGAATACTTTGATGCTAGTAATGACTAATGTCCATGTAAAGTGGCATTAGTACTTAAATTGGTGTTACCTTATGAGTTGAATGTAGTGACAGTGAGTCATTTGTTTCAGCACAGTATTGGGTCGATTTCCAACTCGGACTGACGAAGGAGCAGGATGATATCATAAGCTAATGACTTAACGTTTGTTTACCATAATCGGTACAATTCAGAACTGCTGGAATCTCCTACTGCTGTAGCCTCATGTTCCGTAGCTGGTTTGCTACTCACCGTCATAGACTCAGAGGTTGATGAAAGGACCAAAAATTCATTTGCAATAGCAGCAGTCTAAAAGTAGGTTTGGGACAGTCGGCTGTTACTCGGCACCATCCAACACCCAAGCTGCATTAATCTAAGTCCTAATTGCAGTGCATGTAACAACTTAAAAAAAAAATCTGAATTTACAAATTATGTGAATTGTCCATGTCCTGACATGAGCACAGATACACCTTGTGAAAACAAAGGGCAAAGGTCCCCAAGTATGTGGCACTGAAACCGAAACCACATGTGTATTTATTGTTATTTATCAGTGGCAGAGTTCACTATAAATACTTTTTGAATGATTTTTTTAAATCACTTTTTATATAATTTAGTAATTTCAGGAGCAGTGCCTTCCATAGTTATGACAGTTATACTGTCGAAATGACAAAAGCAGCATCTGCTAAAAGATGTGTACATGTTGACCGACGGCCAGTGCTGAACACACAACAATCAGGCACTTCTCAGCAAGACACAACTGTGAGATTTATGGTTTTTTTTCTCTAAACTGACACTGGATTGGTCTTTTACCAAGGCCAGATTGCTATCACACCTGATGGTGCTTGGCCACACTGGTCCCTTGGAACATGTACATTTCTCATTCTGACAATATTATCAGGAGCAGTGTCTCCCATAATATGGAAAAAGAAGGTAGTTTTTTCCTACCACTATCCGTATCGGAGGCAGTGCCCTCCACATTTCACGGTAGGGGTGGGCATTTATTTTTTTCATCGGGGACAGTGTTTCATGTGTGTGTATATACACTGAAATGCTATACAGTGTATGTCTGCATTGTTAGATTCCTAAGACGTCTTGCTTATATCTTCATTGTAGCTTCCTCCCAGTCAGAATACAGCCTGCAGCTTGTGATCGCTGATCTGAAAGAGAATAAGTTTTAACATTTCCCATCTGTCTGTTTATCAGTATCAAGAAGCTGCATGTCTGATCTTTTCTGGGTTTCTTTATTCAGTTTTTATTTTTTTCCATTTAAACAGATGTTGTTTGTGCCGCATATGGAACAGATATGTGGGCGTATTACTTTAAAGAAAAGATGTTACGAGCATGGTTTGACCACTATGGTTGGAGCGATGTGGTCCGGTATTCTCAGACAAGATCGTTTTGAGTATGAACTTTGATTTAGTGTGAAACTACATTGCCTTCTATTTTGATGTGTTGCTTCATTCTTGTTAACTGTTCCTTGTCTCTTTGTTTGCCAACTGCATTATAGAGATGGGTTTCTACATACATTGTATTGTGGAGGATGAATATTTGGATTGTTTGTAATTTTGCATTTTCTTTTTTCCCGATTAATCAAAGATTACTGGTGTAAAGGTCTGTTAAGCTAGAACGCATCTAAAGTTCTAGGAAGGATGACAAATGAAAAAGGTGAACAACAAATCAGTGTAAATGGGTTTAAAAATTACAGTTACAGTAGCTGATGGGGTCTTCCTTTGTTTATCTAATCTGCCATGTCTGGTTACTTTCAGGTATTTTAAGTACCTCCATTAGAAAACATGATATAGCCACTTAAATTACTCTATAACCCATGCTCACACATCCACAGTTTGAGTGAGTAACAGGTCTTCTGGGCTATAATGAGGCATGTGCTGGACTTTGCATTTCTAATATTGGCAGTTTGCTGACCACTGGAGATATGGTATGGTCCACTGGACTGTCTTTTGATTTGGGTGCTGAAAGGTTGGCCATTCAATTCCCGGCTTCTCAGGTCCACATGGTGAAGTGTCCTTGAGCAAGATACTGAACCCCAAGGTGCTCCTGGTGTGTGAGTGTATGCGCTTGGGAGTGTGAATGGGTGAATGGGCAAATAGTGTGAAGCACTTTGAGTGTGCTGTAATGCATAAAAAAGTGCAATACAAGTATAAGACCATTTACCAAATGGTGTGATTAAGATGCACACTACTTGTTTTGCAGTTTGCTTATCTCTTGCATTTTTTTAAGGATGTGTATACAGAGAACAATTTTGTGGTTTCTATTAATGGTGCACTATTCTGAGTGAGAAGTGAGTGTTTCCATCTCAGCTGTCATGTTCTTTTTTGCTCGAAGGCCAAGTTTGGAACTGAAGCTGGCATTCATATTATCACCTTTAGATTACAATATTTATCATTTTACTTTGATGTATATGTGACCTCTGTATCCTTTGTTTGTCTTTTTTTACAGCACATTGTTTACATATTTGAAAGTCCATACTATCAGTTGCGTGATCATAGTGTTCAGTTTGTTGGGACTAAAATAAAACTGAACACAAGATTCTTTGTCACCTACATTTCAACATATATCTGTATAGATATTTATCACAGTGGACTGTTACCCTTTTTTTTAGGTATTTTACAGCTTACATTAACAATACCAAATACCAAATACTCAGCCAAGGTACAAAACAACTGACACCTCAGATACATTTGTAGAATATTAACCTGCTAAGTGAAATGACATACTGTATATCTGCATTACTTAAAATTTGACTAAGTAAAATGGTCATCTCTTGTCAGCTTTGTCCTGACAGACACTAACAGTGTTTCCCAACACTGGCAAGCACCGTTGTGATCTTGTCTCAAACCCGCTGATTATTCTGGGGAAAATGGGAGACCAGTAATTTATATTGTTATGTAACTATAATGACAAAAGTGACCACAGGTTATCTCTGCAGCAAAATTAAGTCAGAACTTCTAGAGTTTGATTCTATGCAGGCCTAACTCTGGTGGTAGAAAGTTTAAATTAACTCAATAATGTACTGAAGAACAATTTTGAGGTATTTGTACTTTACTTGAGTATTTCCCTTCATACTTTCACTTCACTACATTTCAAAGGAAAATCCTTTTACTTCACTACATTTATTAGATAACTATGGTTACTTGATACTTTTCTGAATAAGATTAATAAAACAATACAGTATAATCATAAATCTTTATCGATTATTGTGGGAAATTCACAAGCTGCCCAGCAGTAATTCCATTTATAAGTAAATAGGTAAGTAAGTAATTTACTTTCGGTACTTTAAGTATGTTTTTGTCCTAATACCTTTGTACTTTTACTTAAGTAACATTCTGAATAAAGGACATTTACCTGTACCTACAGTATACGTGAGTAGCTTTACTCTGTGATATTACTACTTAGTGAGAACGAGCCTAAATTGATGTTACACAATTGGATGTGACACCGGAACTTAAAGACTCCGTCAATGTTTCCAGCCGGGCGGTTTAGAGGACGAACCAGAACTGAGTAGGACTTTTCACTTAATTATTTAAAGTCAGTGGTCTATTTTTTTGTACTCTGATTTAATTTGAATTAGTACATCCCATGTTAAAAGCGGTAAAATCGTGAGAGTAGGTTTCACTGGTGGGTTTAAATGGCTGACAGGCTGAGCTAAGCTAACGAGGTGAGTTAGCTAACTACACTATGTCTTCACACAAAATACACGTTAGATCCATGAGAAACACGTATACAACGATAGTTCACGTCACTATACTGAGCTGGGGCTACTTGGGGTTTGGAAGAAGCTTTTCTGACATAATTATTGTTTGCTCGGGTGGCATTTATATAAACGGCACTGAAATTGATAAAAGAAGTGCACAGCACATGCAATATGAGAAGTCAGGCAGCCATTGACGTATATAGAGAATCTATCTCCCCATAATAAGAATGAAAATATATGTTTTTAAAAACATGCATTTGTGTGTGTTTATATATTTTGTTTGTTTATGTTTTTCCAGTGTTTGTGCACCTTGATAGTGGGTGAAGTTGCATCAGTAACTTCTGCGGTATTTTGCCATGTATTTTCAGTGTGACATGTGCGTAATGTGAATAAATGTAATACAAAGAAAGAAACAGAATTGAATGATTCCACATAGATTATAAACGATGTCATTTGAACAAGAGGTTTCTTAGGTTCCTGATATCCAGCATTTTCAAATAGGCCTAAATGCAAATAAATACACAAGCATTTATGTTAAATATTGCATTTAGTGTTATTTCCTCAGTTCCTGGATTGGTACTTTGTCACAAGTCTGTGCAGATTCTCAGTCATCCAGGTCATAGTAAGCTGAAAAAAAACTTTAAAAAAAATCAACTGGGCTAGATTTCTAGGTCGAAGATGTTTCACCTCTCATCCAAGAGGCTTCATCAGTTCTGGCACTGTTCAGTCTTGTCACAAGATACTGGTCTCTCTCTGCAGTCATGCTCCTGGTGGATCCCGGCCTCTTCATCGGCACTGCGGCCGACCTCAGCGACAGGCAGGCACTAGTCGAAGCAGCTGTCACTCACATACTGTCTGTGGACTCTGTAAATCCCACCCTTCTGCTACCTGCTGATGGTGGCTTTCATAGAAAGTGGGTGAACGTTTTGGATGAAGCAACCTCTGATCTCCTGAGTCACATGGACGACTGCTATGTATTCATTCAGGAGGCTGTGAATGAAGGCCAGGCTGCACTCGTTCACTGGTAAGGTGCAGAAATCAGGTGCAGTGAACCCCTCTAGGGTTCTGGGTTTTACTTCCTAATGATTTTTGACAAATTTCCACATTATGAAAGGTTTTTGTCACTAAAGAAACTGAATGTTATGGTGGTGGTGTCAGTTTTTAAAAGTTACCCGTTTCTTTGTACTCTAATTTGCCAGAAGGAGTGAGTATGAGTGTGTGTGTTGTCTGTCTCTAAGTGTCAGCCCTGTGATAGACTGGCAACCTGCCCAGGTTGTACCCTACCTGTCGCCCAATGTCAGTTGGGATAGGCTCCAGCCCCCACCCCTGTAACCCTATTCAGGAATAAGCAATGTAGATAATGCATGGATGGAACTTGTTTAAGGTTAGGGTCAGTCTCCAGGAAATGTAATGCTGTGTACAATCCCTGCAAGGAATGAAAACATGTGTGTATATGTGTGTGTCAGCCAGGCTGGTCGGAGTCGCAGTGCCACCATTGTGACTGCATATCTAATGAAGAGATACCAGCTGAGCTTCAGTGAGGCTTACCACAGACTGAAGAGAGTCAAACAGGATGTCCAGTAAGTACTTCGGTCTGTACCTGTGTGTGTGTGTGTGTGTATCTGTATCTGTCTGTCACTGGTGTGTCTGCACTGTTTCCTGTTTTTCCCCTTTAATTTACTGACTGGCTTCACTGGGAAAGTGAGCTTTTAGGAGCATTTTGTCAGCGTGGATGGACATGCAGCGTTATTTGACAGAGGACAGATCACTGATATCTGATGGATGTGTTTCAGGGTCAACAGCAGTTTTGAGGAGCAGCTGTGTCTGTATGAGGCTATGCAGTGTGAAGTGGACACCTCCAGTCCTCTCTACAAACAATACAGACTGACCAAGATTACTGAGAAGTTCCCTGGTAAACATGGAGACACCAAGCTGAAGCATAAAATAATAAATCAGAAACCAACAGACACACTTTTCTTTAATGGATCATTGTGCATTGATTTCCAGTGTTGACCTTTCTAACTGTGTGTGTGTGTGTGTGTGTGTGGACAGAGTTGCAGCAGGTTCCCAGGGAGCTGTTTGCTGTTGACCCCGCCCATTCCAGCTCCTCTGAAGTAGCCTATCGCTGCAGGAAGTGCAGGTGAAATGTGGAAAAGTGTACTCAGTGGCTGAATGGTACTTAGAATAATTCTGAATTCATTTAAAAGATCTTGAAAGACCCTCAACTAGGAAGCTGTACTGTCTTTGTCTTCCAGTCTACAACAACAACAGAACTCCTGTTGCTGTCTGCAAAAATTACACCCATCCTGTCTTTATCACTGTGCTTAAAGGAATAATTCAACATTTTTAGTAAACGCTATTCTGACTTCAGCTTCACACTTATCCTCTGCAGACGAACTCTGTTCCGTGGTTCCAGTATTCTCAGTCACCCAGTAGGAGAAGGAGCATCAGCCTTTGGTCACAAGAAGTCCAGTAATCTCACTGGTAAGAAGACAATATAAAACATACTGTTGGCTAGCTCATGTAGCTCAGGGGTTTTCAAACTGTGTGGCAGGGAGAGGCAGAGAGGCTGCATGAGGTGAAAAGGACAGGACCACATCAGTGTTTGGAAAGCAATGGGACACAGCAGTGAGTGGGACACGCAAGTATGATGTGATATGGTGGTGGGTTGGTTATGGTTTGGGCTGGTACGGCTGCCAGTGGAACTGGAACACTGGCATTTGTAAGTGATTTCACTGCTGACAGAAGCAGCAGACTGAATGCAGAGCTTTTCAGGGTGAAGAAGTGGAACATCCTAAACTGGTCAAGACAGTCACCTGATGTCAGTCAGACTCTGCTGCGCTACACTTACTGAAAACAGAGACCCCAAAACTAGAAAGAACTGAAAGTGGTTGGAGTGAAGCCCTGGGGGAGTGTTACCACGATGTAAATACACTCAAGTTAACACAGACTTCATCCATTATTTGCTTCTTCCGCTCTCTTTTTTGGAATTTTTGCCTTTATTTATAAATACGTTGCAAATAAGAACGGCATAGGGCGATAGAGGATGTGACATGCAACAAATATCCCCAGCTGGAACTAAAACCAAATATGTTATGGCCATGTGGCATTCACTGTAACCATTTGGCTGCCACAGTGCTCCCAGTATGTGCGTTTCTTTTTCCAGCTTGAATGTGCCAAGTACAGAACTTAAAGAACAAAATGTGTGACTGTCCAAACACCTACCTGGCTACATGAGTAACCAGGGCACTTTTGATTCATTATAAACCATGGTCGGGATTTGCTAGTGAAAGTCTTGTATTAAGACCTGCACCTCTGAACAGTCATAAGGATGCATCAGAGACATTCCTGCATAGATGAACTGTAACCTGGCTCTTGTTAGAATCATACAGGGTTGTGAATGAGCAGAACATGTAGCACATGTAAAGATACAGAGGCAGCACTGACTAAAGTGAACATTGGGGAAAAAATAATTATTATTGTCATAAAATATTCATATGAAAAATTCAGTCCCTTCAGGGGTTCCAGTGGACCGTCTCGTCTAGAGATGGCCCTGGCTGACCCCTTTTATCATTCTAAGGAGTCTAAACGTAAGCTCCCTCTTTAGCTTCAGACATGTCCACCCTGGGCAGAGGTCCAGTCAGTCATTTTGAAGTGATTATCATTATCACTCTAATGTTCTTTAGGAGGTGTCCAGTGTACATCTTACTTCATTGAACCAGTGCAGTGGATGGAACAAGCTTTACTTGGAGTGATGAATGGACAGGTAACAGGCACACACACACATACATGTTTCCATCACTTCAGGTCATCGAAAATATCATAAATGGGGTACGGTTGACATTTTGAACCACATTTCTAAAAGAACTTCCTTAAAGAACTATTAGTGTTATTTCCCAGTGAAGTTCGATCACATATTTTTTTAGAACTAATTGATGCTACACTGTTTGTCTGAATCCCTCGACCAGAGCTGGTGATGGAAACATGGTTCAGCTTCCATACCTGCGTGATGTTAGTTACGATCTTCACTGTGATGGTCTGCTGACCTACAAGTCCAGACCTTAGAAGCATGTTGGTTTCTTTATCTGCACTTACAGTCTGATACTTCCCTGCTCTCTTCTCCCGTGTGTGTGTGTGTGTGTGTGTGTGTGTGTGTGTGTGTGTATATAGCTGCTCTGTCCTAAGTGTAGATCCAAGCTGGGCTCATTTAGCTGGTGTGGGGACCAGTGTTCATGTGGTCGCTGGGTCACTCCTGCCTTCCAGCTGCACCGTAACAGAGTGGACGAAATCCAACAACTGAACATACAGAAATAACCCCCCCACACACACACACACAGCAGCTGTCTTTGTGAGGACACTCATTTGGCCCTTATATTAACTTCACATCTAATGCTGTCTTTCCACTGCCACCAGAAACTGTCCCACACTCAAGCCAGCTGGCCAGCTGTTGGCCCGTGCTGCTTGGCCCCAGTACAGCTTTGTGTTTCCATTGCACAGTGTGAGCACTGCTCTTGGAGAATGCATCATTGGTTTTCTACCAATCAGAATGTAGTGACATAGACGGCCGAGCTGGGGGTGGATCAGAATACTCGTTGACTTGATTCTATGCTGGGCTATACATCGCGCTTTTCAGTTTCAGCCCAGGCAGTTCTCTTTCTAAGACAGTCAAATCACACGAACCCGCTCTGGTGCATAACCCCAACCTTGACCCTAACCTGAACCCTAAAACCAAGTCTGAACCCCCACTTAACCCTCTGAATGTGTGAGAATGGACCAAAATATCCAAAACTCCAGCATGTCCTCACAGTGGATAGCCATACAAGTACACACAAGTTCAAATGAATACAGTCTCCACTGACAGAAAAAGGCATAACACGGTCAAGCCAGTGCTGTTGCAATCTGTAGTCTAGTGTTCCTTTTCAGAATGAATGATTCAGAGAATTTATCAGCTGTAAGAAAAAGTCAATGTTTGCGTCCAAGGATTTCCTTTGAATCACACACATTGTAAATAAAAACATACTTGTAAATAATAGAAGACAAGTTTGCACTGATCTTTGTTACTGAACAAACAAATCAACAGTGTTCTACGTGTGGAGAATATTTTAAGTGACATTGCTGTTCCATTGGTCAGTATATAGCAATAATAGAGCGGGGGCATCACCATTTCACAAAGGTTTCATGGAAGTCTGCTCTTTTGATGACGTCACTGTCACATCCAAAATCAAGTGAATCACTTGACAGTGTGCATTCCTCTAGGTCCAGGTGGATGACTTGTTCTGTCTGTTCATGTCTGAGCTCTTCCTCCCTTGTGTGTTTAGTTTTCATTCACATCCAACAGAAACATTTGGTTCCATCGACTTGATATTGCAGTTTGATTTAAGATCCAGACTGAGAGAAGAGCGGATCACGCTGTGTTGAAGTTCAGCAGATTTACTTGTCATGGACTCCAGTTTCTAACAGGCCGATCATAAAAGCAGCTGCGCTCCTCAGTCATAATTCACATGACATAATACTTTCTACAACTAGCAGACGAGCTGACTGACTAATGTACGTATTTCCACTCGATAATTCCATGAATATACTCATATTTTCTGATGCTGAATCCAACATAAACCCTCAGCTTCACTGGGACTGCATTGCATGGGCACAATTACAAGTTCTAAATGGGACAGAATACTTAGACTAAAGATTACTTGCAGACTCAGCAGAGGTTTAACAGAACATTACACTTAATAGAAGAGCCAAAAAAGACTACTTGCAGCCTTTAGAAATCCAACATTTTTTAAAATAATTGATTAATCTTGTTGTACAATATGTGTCCACAGTGGTGGAAGAAGTAAGTAGCAAACTACAGCATCCAATACTTTGTTACAACTGTAAGTCCTGCACTGAACATTGATTAGCACTGAAATAGACTGACATTTCCAAGGAAAAGTGCTCATGCAGAGTGGCCATTCACTGGTTGCACACTTTTTGTTCAGTTTGTTCTTTGATAATTATCATTTTCCCCACAGTCTGCACTCAGTAATGACACTAGAGAAACATACGTGTATTCTGAAGAATGAGTTGGATGACTTAATAGTGAAAGGGAAAGTTTTCCAAAGTTTATGTGCATGGCCATCAAATGCATGGTCTCCTTTTGTTTTATGATGGACCCTGGAAACATCCAAAAAACAGTCAATCATAGAGTACAATCAGAAATGACATGTTTTTACTGCATTATTTGATGGTTTGAGACATCAGAAGTAGCATAAAATAGAAATACCCACGTAAAGTACATCTACTCTTGTCTTAATTGTATTGTCCTAATGTTAAGGATGGACATACAACCCCTAATAAGGAAAAGTTGAGATGGTATGTAAAATCAAAATTAAGTCTGAAAATAGTGATGTGTAAATCATCCGTGTCCTGTATCACATTGAAAACAACACAGCAGCACATTAGTTGATGTGATATCAATTTTATTCATTGTTCAAAATAAACACTCACTTCAGTCCTGATGCTGCAACATTCCAATTAAAGTTGGGACAGTAAAGCATTTACCACGGTGTGATGTTGCCGTTCCTTTTCACAACACATAAGACGTTTAGGGACTGAGGACACCAAGTGATTAAATGTGTCAGGTGTCATTTTGTACCATTCTTCCTGCAAACAAGTCTTTGTTGACATAATTTGCATTTCAAAATACACCACCCATTCTCTATTGGGGACAGGTGGGGACTGCAGACAGGCCAGTCCAGCACTCACACCCTTTTCCTCCACAGCCAGACCTTGGTAATGTGGCAGGATGAGGTTTTGCATTGTCTTGTTGAAATATGCATGGGTGTCCCTGGAAAAGGCGTCATCTTGAAGGCAGCATATGTTGCTCCAGCATCTTTGTGTATTGGTCAGCATTAATGGAGCCATCACAGAAGTGTAAGTTCCCTTTGCCAAGGGCACTGACACAACCCCAGACCATGACAGATCCTGGCTTTTGGACTTGTTGCTGGTCTGGATGGTCCTTTTGTCTTTGGTCCAGAGCACACGGCGTCCATTCCTTCAATAAAGACCTGAAACACTGATTCATCTGACCACAGTACACGTTTCCACTGTGTGATGGTCCATCCCAGATGCCTCTGAGCCCAGAGCTTCTGGACACAGTTAACATAGGGCTTCCTTTTGGCACAGTACAGTTTTAAGCAGCATTTATGGATGTAACTACATATTGCAGTGCCTGACACAGATGAGCCAAAGCCATCCTGAGCCCATGTGGTTATATCACTTATAGAAGAGTGATGATTCTTGATGCAGCACCATCTGAGGGATCAGAGAGCTCGGTCATCCAGCTTAGACTTGTGCCCTTGTCCTTTATCCACTGAAATCCCTCCAGACTCCTTGAATCTTTTAATGATGTTCTGCACCTTAGAGGGTGACAGATCCAAATCCCTTCCTATCTTTCATTGAGGAAAATTGTTTTTAAAGATTTCAATAATTTTCTCACACATATGTTGTCAAACTGGTGGTCCTCGGCCCATCTTTGCTCCTAAAGGGCTCAGCCTTTCCTGGATGACACTGTTGCACCAGATCATGATACAGTCACCTGTTGACATCACCCGTTTCAAATGGAGTCATCATTTTGTTGTTTTACCTCATTACTGGTCTTGAAATGTAGCCAGCCCAACTTTTTTTGGAATGTGTTGCAGCATCAGTGTTTATTTTGAACAAAGAATAAAACTGATGAGGTATCACATCAAATAATGTGCTGTTGTGTTGTTTTCAATGTGATACAGGACACAGATGATTTACACATCACTATATTCAGTTGTAATTTTGTTTTGATGTATCATCCCAGCTTTTTCTGATTTGGGGTTGTACAGTAGTGTAATAATTTATAACTCACATAGGATTACAAATACATAGTTCTTGAAACTGCTGGTTAGATGAATCATGAATCAAGTCATTATATTTGATAAGCCATCAATGTCAGACAGGTTCGTTTTATGTTCTGATTTGCCATTACACAGATCTTTAGGATAGTTTTTCACCATTTTCCACTCACAGAATCTTTGGATTGAATTGGGGAAGGCCAGTGATGGCCTACCCCGAGAGGGTTATGAAAAAGAGGTGGGATGAGGGTTTAAATAAGGTGAAATGAAAAGAAAGAGGGTTGGGGAGTGGTTGGAGTTTTCTGTGGTCTCAGCATTCTAATTAGGAATTAGTCACAGGGGAATTCTTTTCCAGGTTCTCTATGTGTGTACATCTTCCTACAGTTGAGTGGCTTGATATCACTGAGGTGAGAGCATCACTGAACCAGCGTATGTGTGTTGCAGTTGCACACTAAAATACAGATGTGTCAACATCAACAATAATCACCCCTTTGGGAAGTGCAAGAGAAATACTTTTTGAAATATAACATCTTCAAGCTTGGCATGTTCTTAGGGGGATATAATATTTGAATGGCCACATGGTACCTAATAAATAAAAGGGCATGTTGTAGTATATTGTATTTAGGCATTAACATCCATCTGCAACTTCTTTTAACAACTACTTTTATTATTCATTTATTTATTTTTACCCAGTTTGACATGACAAAATATGAAAAAAATAATATAGTATGTTTATGTATATTTACAGTATGATTAAATTAAGATAAATACAAATTTGTGAATTTGTTACACATGCTGAACTGGAGTTGTAAGACACTGTTCCTACTGTGTCCCTTCTTTCTGTCAGTACAGTCAACACAACAGTCCCCTCAGAGTATTCTCTGAGGCCGAGACAAAACCGGATACTGACGGATCTCATTTATAATCACTGAAATGAAAACAGTTTCTGATTTTAAACTGGTCTGTGGGAGAGCGTTGTCCACCAGACTACTGCTGGTGGAAAAGCACAGTACACTTAGTTCAACGGTCCATAAAACAATCTCAGCTTTTCTTCTTTAACCTTAATGGCCCATAGGAGTATCAGAACAAAGGGTTTAAAAAATGTTTGGTTGAGCACTTTAAACAAGACAATACACATAGTATTTAAATTGAAAGAAAATGCTGTTTTTGTAATGTGTTAGTGAAGCAGACAGTTTTAATGGAACTGAACATCTGTAATGGTAAGTCTGTTATTAATGATGGCACTGATTTATTGTGGTAATAAAACCACATACTAATAAAAGTGCATTGATGCAGATGCCAGATGTTGCTAGAGACAGAAAACATGGAGTGTTGTCCCAGTGTAACAGTGATGAAGTGTGCCTGTTGTTCTTCTCTGTCAGCTTTCTTCATCCATCCATTTAATATACCACTTATCCTGAAGACCTCCATGGGGGTGCTGGAGCCAATCCTAGCTGACACTG